ATTGGATGGAAGACTTCTTTCTCTCTCTGCCTCTCCTCTCTCTGTGTAACATGGATTTTCAAATAAATAAATAAATCTTTAAAAAAAATTTTGGTATGATGGAAATGCATCACCATAATCTTCACTTCATGGGTAGGTATGATGCATGTATGTAAACACATGACAACTTCCTCAACACATGAAGAGATGTCCTTTTGGGATATATGCATTTGAAAAACAAAGTTTCTTGAGATCTCAGCTTTTTGGGTGACTGTATATAGGTGATGACTTTTTCCTCTATCTTGTCAAAAGACTGAGATTGTCCATTTTCATGGTATTTCAGCTGATCACAGTTATAAAGCTGAATGCACGCAATTACTGACCATAGAGAAAGCATTTATACATTTCATTCTTTAGCCTGTTTATGAATACAGCTCATCTCATAACCGTTATCCCTGTGTGAATGTAACTCATATATATGAGTGTTTATGCTCTAAAAATACTTACATGATTATTGCCTTCAAACTGCTTTGTCATGTTTTTCCATGTCTCTGAAATAAATCCCCTTTCCAAAATGTAAATAAATGTCAGATAAATAATTTTTTTCAGAATTATATTTTGGAGATTTTGATCTTTCAAGACTTTAGAGATTTTTGATCTCTTGAGATTTCAACATTCAGGATTATGGTGTTGGGATTGTGTCTTTCAGGATTGTGGCCCAAGATCTCCAACTAATATTCTCAAAGTCAGGATTTAAACTTAATCTATCTGACTCCAAAACCCAACCTTTTTCACTTCTCCACTAGAACGGCAAGTTCTCTAAATACTCAGCCACAGTTCTATGAAACTGCTTCACCTTCATTCCAGCTTCCTTTCTTACATTCTTTTACCTTATTTACAATAAAGAAGATAGTTTTCTGCACCATCATTTTTAATAACCTGAGGAAGATTGTAATTTACTTTATATTTGAACACTTGTAGAAGGGAAACCTGAGTATTTTAAATAATTAAAGTATTAGAAACCACAGCCCAGCCTTTCTCCCATGCCTCAGTTGCAGAGCTGAACAACACTCAACTGCACTGAGCCTCAGTTTGATAATAATAAAGAGTTAAGAATTTTAAATTTTTTCTAAATTTGTAACTAGATTTTTGTGAGACTGCTTTGAGATAGCATAAAGGAAGCTAGCACGTAAATTTAAGAATGAATTTCCATCTTTGTCTTTTCTAGTGATGTACCCTAGACTCTCTAATGGTAGTTCTCTATCTTGCTCACCTTTGTAGAACCTGTAACAAGTGACCTTGTGCAAAACAGTACCTAATATATGTGGGCTGACCTGGGGAACTCAGAAATCCTAGATCAATCTCAGCTTAAAAACCCCATTAATGTAATGGTCATGCCTATTTTTTTTTTTTAAATTGCTGCATCTACGATACCTAATGTTAGCTTAGGATACAGTAAAACTGAATGATAATTGAAATTGAATGATGAGATAATTAATCACTGGATTAACTTCCAAGACTTTTCATGGATATTGAGAAAATAAATCCTTTTGTCTCCTTGCTCCCCATTGCATCCCCAAACCATTCAGATGTTAATGTCCATCATTATTCCTTGCATGGTCAGGGAATGCCCAGCCCATGGGCCATATAAGGTCCATGAAATAATTTGTTCTGACCCTGCCAAGGCAACTGCAGGCAAAACTCACGATTCAATAAATCTACAGCAGGCTAATTTTCAAGTTGATAATGTGGTATGGCCTGTGGATGATGTTATAAATATCCAAATGGCCCTTGGCAGAAAAGGGGTCCCTGCCCCAATGCACATGAAGATGGCTTGCTGAGAAAAAGATAAACATTTGGAACACTGTCTTGTCCATTAAGTGCCTATAACAAAAGCCCCTATATATTTGCAAAATGAATGGGGAAAAAGCCCTTAAAAGTTTAAGTCTCAATATCTCTGCCTGCCAAATTAAGCTTTAGTGGAGAATATTCAAAAAGGTCTAAAATAGCAAAAGTAAATGGCAAAGCAGAGACTTTTCTAGTAATATTGTTGTTAGAGGTATCCAGGACTTAGATATTTTGCCTTAGATATTTGTAGCATAGTATCTGCTTTCCCCTGCTCTTTTTTGATGCCTTCCACCTTATAGGTTATTCTCTCTGGAGCAGGGAGGTTGAGATGGAGCTAGTCCCTGCATGGCAGCCATGGTATACTCACTAGAGAATGTTGCTGCTAATCCATCTACTCTGGCCAAGATGGGGTGAAAATTCTTGTAAACATGACCATACGGTTTTTGAAAGAAAAGAAAGAGGCAGGAAGGAAGGAAAGAAGGAAGGAGGGGAGGGAGGGAGAAGAGGCTGGGAAGGAAGGAGAGAGGGAGGAACAGGTTTGGGGGAGAGAGAAAGAGGGAGAGAGAAAATGAATTGTTCATCAAAATACTCAAGAGTTACGCTTTAATGATAAACCACCAATTTGGAAAAGAATGAAGACAGAAATAATTAAGACTTGCATTATACAGATTTGAAGTGGCTTTCTTTCCTATATTTATTTATTTATTTATTTGAGAGAAGGAGACGCAGAGAGAGAGAGAGAAATGTCTTCCATCCACTGGTTCATTCCCCAATTGACCACAATGGCCGGAGACGAGCCTATCCAAAGCCAGGAATCAGGAGCTTCTTCCGGGTTTCCCATGTGGGTACAGGGGTCTGAGGACCTGGGCCATCTTTCACTGCTTTCCCACGCCATAGCAGAGAGCTGGATGGGAAGTGGAGCAGCTGGGACTTGAACCAGTGTCCATATAGGATGCCGGTACTACAGGCGGAGGCTTTACCCACTAAGCCACAGCGCCAACCCCTCCTATATGTCTTAATAAAAATTTCCCATAACTGTTGGAACAGTTGGAATAGATCCTGCTCCCTGCCAATAATCACCTGCTGAGCCACAGAGCTCTACTGCCAAGTACTTTTGGAGAACCACGTATTGTTGAGAAGTTAGGCCTAGGGTGAGATGATTTGCCTCATGGGTCACGGATCCAGACTGTTGAGACCCTACTGGAAACACAGGGGATCAGATATTCACCTTTCACATAGGAGAACCTCCACATGTTGTGCTAGGAGAAGTTTTACTACTCAGTCTCTATGTTTGCCAAACAGAAGCTATGAAGTCTTCTTGTGCTAACACCCATGTGAGACAGCTTCTGTGGAACAAAGATTTTCAAATACTCTAAATTGTTTTCCCTGATGGCTGAAGCAGCCAAGGTGAGAAGTCGCATCTTCTGACTTAAATTAAATCATCACTAGAAGCTACAATGCTTGGAGCAGGGACTCTAGCAAGGATGACCACTCACAGTGGTCCATGACGATGACTCCCTCCCTCTGAACTTGAGTTTCCCTAGCTATACAAAGAGATTGGTGCAGCCATGTGAACTGAAATATCATTTTTGTGTGACAGGTATAATGCTGGAAAAGCCTGTTAATTATTTATTTCACAACACATTTACTTTAGGAGTGCAGTAGGTAGCGATGGAGTTAGAGTATGGGTCTATTCCTCTGTATAACTCCAGGGGGCAGCAGCTTCTTGGACACAGAAAGGTCAATCAGGCATAAACGGCATCAGGGGAATTGTGTCTCTTTAGCCCTGAGGTAAGGAGACTGATCCACCCAAATGAACTTTTCTAAAGAAGCATAAAACCCTCAGAAATCATGTCCAAATTATAAAGAAATTACAGCTCCTGGGAGATCCTAAGAATATGAAAATCATTGGTGCAATGATAATATTTCTCCTGAAGGTTTTTCCTTAGATTTTCCCAGATGGGTTTTCAGTGACAGCAGGTTTATTTTTAACAAATGCACATAAATGACATCCTTTTCTTGATGACAGGAACTTTTTTAACTATTTATTTTATTTATTTGAAAGACAGAGCTACAGAGAGAGGCAGAGAGGGAGAGGTCTTCCTTTCGCTGATTCACTCCCCAGATGGCCGCTATGTCTGGAGCTGCGTCGATCCGAAGCCAGGAGCCAGGATCCTCTTCTGGGTCATGCGGGTTCAGGGACCCAAGGTCCTGGGCCATCTTCCACTGCTATCCCAGGCCATAGCAGAGAGCTGGATCAGAAGAAGAGCAGCCAGGACTAGAACCGGTGCCCATGTGGGATGCCAGTGCTTCAGGCTAGGGCTTTAACCTGCTGTGCCACAGCGCAGGCCCATGACAAGAACTTTTTATTTTTCCAAAATGTGTTTGGCCAGCCCCAAAATCAGAGACACAAGACTGGCAGGTCTGATGTTACACAACACACAAGCTACAGAGCGACAGAGGAAAGTGCCCCAGAGTTCTGGTTCCTCTTTGTTCAAGAAGGCTGTGTTGCATCAGCACTCAGGGGTGTCTTACCTAGCAGAAAACCAGCATCTTCACTCTAGTTTCCCATTTTCATTGGAAAGATGGAAAGAATTTAACTTAATAGTAAAAAACTCAGCTTCTGTTTTTTGCCCTTTCTCTGAGGCTTTAAGCCCAGTAGCAACCCTTGCAATTCTTGCAGTTAGGAAGTTGAGGTTTCTGGAGGGATGAATATGCATGGCACACATAATCTCCAATTTATTAGCCTGCTTCACTGGTCATTATTGAGATTTGATTGTAATGGTGAGTGGCGTTAACATGCCCTCCACATCTCCCTAACAACATTTATGGTCAGTAATAATATTAGTTCAGTCCTCACATGGCGCTCTGCAGAGTGAATCTGCTAGAGTTCATCTTGCCTCATTACTTCTAACAGACCCCCTGTAGTCAGGTCACACTCCAGTGGCATGCCAGACAGAAAGACGACGTCTTTTAAATATGCTCTCTGGCTACTTCATTGGAAATGCTAGCCTTTTCATTAGGGCAGAGCTAGTGCTGCTTCTCCGGGTGCGCATAGTATAGTCAGATGTCACGAGAATATAGGGGAGGGGACATGAATAAGTCCATGGAATCCTCCTTGAATTTGCTCCTTCAGCCCAGGCTGACATTGTTGGCTCCCATTCAGATGCTTGTACATTGGCATCACACCCATTCCCCTTGCTTCTCAAGTAGCTGAGAAGTGACTGCTCTGTACAGCCATGGCATTGCAGCTGCCTAGAATCTGACTTCCAAAGAAATGCACAGCTAATGCCTAGCTGGTCTAGTGGTGCAAATGCTTAGCTCCTTTGCTTTAAGGTTGAACATACTCTAAGGTGTAATTTAATGTACAAAGCTCCCTGCAAGAACCAAGCTGTGGTTGGGGTTTCACTTGAAATCACACCCTTGCTTGGCTTCCTCTCATTTGCTTTCTTGTTTCTCACAACCCCTCACTGGTCTCTCCAGGGAATCCTGTCTTGACAAATCACTTGCTGGGAATGTTTGGCTCAAGGTTTGCTTTTGGGAGAACATGATCTCAGCTGCATTAGGCAGGCTCCTGCATCTCCAGCTGTGTGTAAGCCTCGTAACCACTCTGCTCCTAACTCTGCTCCACTCTCATGAGAACATAGGCGGGCAGCACAAGCCATGCATCGTCCCCAAACACCTGTCTCCCTTCTCCACCACCACTCAAGACCCAAGGTCCTCCAGAAGCTTGGCCCTTCTGTTCAAAGCAGTCTCAAGGGAACCAACACATTTGTAACTGAACTCCAGCACCATTCATGTTCTTAATCCCATCTTGTCTTCTCACCATTACAAGTACAGATTAGTGGATCCATTTTATAGTGAAGGAAACTGAAGTTCAGAAAGGTTATACAAACTAAGTGAATTCCCACACCCAAAAGATATAAGTCATCTGACCCAGGCTTTCAACTTCAAGTCCAATAAATTCTTCACATTCTTTACCATGATGGCCCCATTGGCAGCCAGGCCATGATGTTCCCAATTAACAATAAATCATGCTTCGATGAAGTCACACTGTGTTTGTGACAAGACAGAGTCAAAGTGACTCCACAGAGACTTTATTTTCAGGGATCATTTCTATAGTTTGTTACTAGAGACGTTTCTCTAATCATGTAGAGCAAGGGAAACCACGAGGAGGAGGGCGTGCCTCAAAGTGTCCTTTGTTGCTGCTGCCATTTGCCATCCATGGTCAATCTCTTCTTCGTGGAGAGAAAGAGCCGGAGGACACAGTCTGAGTGGGAAAGCCACTTGGAAATCACAACAGCAATTAAACAGTCAGTCCCTCTTCTGTGTAAGGTGAGTAACTCCTGTTGTTTACCAGTGAGGACTCCAGCTTTACTTGAACCATCCTGCCTCCTAGATAAGAAGTTCTCTAATTTCTCAGTGGCCTCTACTCTCCAAGTGACCCCCTGCATTCTCAATTTCACCTTAGTTTCATCAAAAGCCCCAATTATTTTTTGTTGTTGTCTCAATCATTTTTATTTGATTTAATTGGTAAATAAATACAGAAGAACTGTCATGAAACCACTGACAATGTATTAAACTTTAAATAATTTATTTCAGGGCCAGCATTGTGGCATAGTGAGCTAGGTCTCCGCCTGCAGTGCCGGCATCCCATATGAGCGCCGGTTCAAGTTCCAGCTGCTCCACTTCAGATCTAGCTCTCTGCTACGGACTGGGAAAGCAGTGGAAGATGGCCCAAGTGTTTAGGACTTTGCACCCATCTGAGAGACCCTGAAGAAGCTCCTGCCTCTTGGCTTCAGCCTAGCCCAGCCCTGGCCATTGCAGCCACTTGGGGAGTTAACCAACAGATGGAAGACCTTTCTCTCTGTCTCTCTGTCTCTCTCTCTCTTTGTCTGTCTGTAAATCTAAATCTCAAATAAATAAATGCAATCTTTTAAAAAATAATTTATTTCAATTTCATTCATTAATTGTATTTCTTAGAATGGGAATATATACATTATTCACTGATAAATGTTTAATGCTTTAAATGTACAATAATCTTATTTGCTGGAACTTGAAATTATTTCAGTTAAATGGGGAAAAATGTATTTTAAAAATGCCTTCTTCTGCTCCTACAATTCAAAGTAACATTTTTAAAAAAACCAGAACCTTTAACCAAAAATCCAAAACTGCAGTCCTGTAAGTAAAACAAAATGGTCACAATTAATTATTTTGATTATTAGCGCTGAAAAAAATATAGTACCTTCTAAAATACTGTAGATTAGTAACTGGTCCAATTTTTCCTTCCAAGCACACAAAGCAAAGCTCAAATTCTATCAGAAGTCCTCCCCCACAACCCTCCCTAACAAATCTTCCCAAGCTTCCAATGAATTCTACTCTTGTTTTCTGCAAGAAGCTAAATAAATCAAATTATGTTGCCATCAGGTGCGTTCCTGATAGTTTCATCATCCAAATTTCATGACCCATTAAGCCATTTCCCAAAATGATTTCTTTTAAGAACAAATATGCCCTTGCCTTGCACTATGTTTCACAAAATGTTATGCTCTGCTCTGTTCATGGGAAAAAGCACATGTCCTGATAAAAAGAAAGACGTGCTGCAATTAAACTGCAACAGACTGCTTTTATGTTAGTCCTGGGCAATGCACGAATCCAGAACACCAACTTCTTGTGCTTTGTTTATCATTTCACATGTTCCAAGGGAGGTGACCATTTGTCCTGACTCCGGTTGTGTTGGTTGGCATGGGATGAGTAATGCTTTGCTTGTGCTTCAGTAATAAAACTTAATGACTTTCCTTGTGAGTATCTTCATTTCTTTATTCACATAAAGCAGTTGGTGTAGCTCTGCAAGAAAACATGGAGATGTGTTTATTTCTCCATAAGTATTTGCTTCATTAACATCAAAGTTATACCCTAGAGCTCTATTCTTGTACATTTCTGCCTTCAAAATATTTCATTTCAATGTCAAGTTATTGATGGCAATTCAGTAGAACACAGCTAGTAGTAACATTGAACATAAAGTAAATGAAGTGGTGACTGAGTTTTCAGACATAGGCAAAGCCACTAGGTCCCAACTTCCACCTGACCTAAAAGGATTGTGCAAGGCACCATGCATCCCAAGGCCAGTAATATTTAAGTGTGTAATCTTAGAATTGATGAAATCTATGAGTGTGGTTGCCATGAGGTCTCATTTTGAGTAGAATTTTTCATTGTACTCCTTTGCAAGTAGAAAGTTGAACAGAGTTTTCAAGGAAGCAGAAATTAAAAACACTGTTATCTTTCTTTCATCTGAATAAAATATGTGGGAAAAGAAAAAGTACACCTCATAGAGACTAAATATTCCTAGAATCCATACTCAAGAAGTAACATAATGCTTTCTACTGCTTTCTAAATGCATTTTAAGTTATATTGCCTGATTTTTTAAAAATTCTCCATATAAGTGATTTAATTCAAGTATTCTGTGTACAGTCATTCCTCAGTATCTTCAAGGGATTCACCATGGTACCTTATGTGGATAGCAAACTATAGTTGCTCAAATCCCTTATATAATATGACATGCATTTGCATATAATCTATGCACCTCTTCTCATACTTTCAATCATCTATTGGTTATTTCAATACCTAATGCAATGTAAATGCTATGGAAATAGTTATTTTATTGTTTAGGAAACATAAGTCAAAAAAACTGTACATGTTCAGTACAGACGAAAATTTTTTTCTGAATATCTTTGATCCATGGTTGCACTGGCCAATGCAGAACCCACAGACATGGAGGGCTGACTGCATAGACAAGGGAGCAGGAGAGATATTGCGTTAAATGGAAAAGACTTTTCTAGGACTCCAACCCATATTGGGAGTCAACTACTTATTAAACATTTTGCACACTCATCCCAATCCTAGTGACCCCCTCCTTTGGACACAACAGTGGATGGCTTACTCATTCCTTCCAATTTGTTGAACAGCACATATGTAGGAGCTATTGCTGCTCTACTGAGAAACCCTCGAATGGGCTGGTTACCATAATTCCCAGCTGTATGGACTGTTAATGCTTCAGAGTAACCTTCTCTTTCATTGACCTTGGGCAACAGAAGCCATTTCAGCGATTTCAGTAGGAAGGAAGGGGATGGGTGTGATAAATAGGTCTTTTCCCCATTCTCTGGGAATGGCCACAGCTAATGATTTCAGCTGTTGACATTAGGAGAGAGGCACTACTCAGCTGTCCTTTACCTGTAGGTGGACATTATGCCACGGTGGTCATTATGCTGTGGTGCAATTTATGTTCTAAATTCTCTATAAGATTAGGCTCAAAAGTAGACTCACATCCTCCCTTGACCTATCCCCTTGTCTTAAGCCAATGTCCTTATTCCCCATGTCTCCATCTCCCACAAGACCAGCCCCTACCCATTCCAATAAATTATCTGAAGAAGAATCTGCATTTCCAACTGTAGGATCAGAGGAACTTACACAGAAGGAAACTCTACCCCAAGCATTTTTTGCATTTTTTTTACTGAGTTTTTCCTCCCTCTCCTTCCATTTGTTGTTAGTTCTGCATCTTCCACCCACCCTACCCCTATGAAATAAAGGCATGAAGAGACAGAGACCTCTCAACCACTGCCTAGGAACAATTTCAGAGCACATAGCAAAGTCTTAAAGAAAAGCCACTTTTTAAGCCATTGACTGTCCTGATATTTGCTCAACCTTATGGTAATTGTAGGGATCCAGTTTAACATGACTGTGAGTATTTTGGTCATAGCCACCATCTTGCCCTAACAATCAACTCACACCTTATGAGATAAATGAAGTTATGAACATAACACACTGAGCTTGTCTTGCTTGGCAGAATGAACCCCAGGAATATCGTTCATGCAAAGCCTGGAATATTACTGCTGTGTGAGAAATTCTGGGTACCCTTAAATTAACCAAGGGCCATTTGTCTAGCTCATTACTAATATGAGCACATAGATCCCTCAATGTCCCATTGACATCTGAGACCATACACTTATCAGTAAATAAATTATACCCTTAGAAATCTTGAATTTGTCCTTTTTCAACTATCTCACAGCCCCTTCTACCTTTGGCAACTGGTTCTTATGGCCTGATTTTTTCCAAAACAGTTAAGTATCACCATCAAATGTGGCCCTAGCACTCTGGCCTCAGGATAAGTCCTTAAGGCATTCGGATCTGGCTAAAAAGCCCTTAAGAGTTTCTCAGGCATGGCAAGCCAAGACACTCTGGCAAAAAAAAAAATGACCTAATGAAAGATCTCTGTGAATGAGATCCCAGTGGAAAAAACGGGCCATCAAAGAAGGAGGTACCTTTCTCTGAAGGGAGGAAAGAACTTCCACTTTGATTATGGCCTTATCTAAATAAGGTTGGAGTTTGTGAACTCAAGAGGCTTCCATAGCCTTGGCAGCTCATGACAAGAGCCTCGGGTGATTGCTGACATCATAAATAAGAGTGTCAATTATTAAATCAACAAGGGAGTCACTGTGCACATACTCCCCATGTAGGATCTCTGTGTTTAATGTGTTGAACTGTATGAATTAATGGTAAAACTAGTACTCAAACAGTACTTTATACTTTGTGAATCCGTGTGGGTGCAAATTGTTGAAATCTTTACTTAGTATATATCAAGTTGATCTTCTGTATATAAAGATAATTGAAAAAGAATCTTGAGGTGAATGGGATGGGAGAGGGAGTGGGAGATGGGATGGTTGCAGGTGGGAGGAAGGTCATGGGGGGAAAAGCTGCTATAATCCAAAAGTTGTACTTTTGAAATTTATATTTATTAAATAAAAGTTTTTAAAAAAAAAAGTTCCTTTGGCTCCTATCACTTTTATATCTACTGACCTTGCTCTTAAACCAGCTGCACTTAGACTGGCAGATTTATCTGGGCACAACTCAATTCCCACTACAACTCCTTCCCATCCCACTGTGCTTATTTTTCCTGAGTTCTTTCTTTTTACACTCATCTGTGGGATTTTTGGTTGCTTCTTCTTTGGACAGTTCTTCTGAAAATAAAGCACCCAAAGGATTTGAATCAAAATGTCTTTGTGGTGGGAAAAAAAAAAGAAAGAAATATCCTTTTGAGTCAGAGACATGGAATTCCTTGGAGGAATTTGTCAAAGTTGTACTTTCTTATGCCCTCCTTCAATACTTTATTTCCATCACAAAATAGTGTTTTGCTGTTGTTATTTTTGCTGGTGGCTGAATTATCATTGTATCACAGGCATTCAATAGATAGATGTTCAGCTCCAGTTACTCTACATTTAATCCCATAAGAATTTTCACTCTAACTTCTATTCTGTTCCTTCAACATGGTTTATATTGTGTTTTCATGTTTTTCTCATATTCAGTCCCTGATTTGTAGCTCCCAAATTCTTTTAGGAGATTTGTATAATATATACATTTTTTTTTGTTATGGAAGGTCTTTATTTCACCTTCAATCATAAATGAGAGCTTTGCAGAGTACGGTATTCTTGGCTGGCATTTTTTTCTCTTTTTTATTCTTTTTTATTATTTAGTAAATATAAATTTACAAAGTACAGTTTATGGATTACATTGGCTTCCCCCCCCCCCATAATTTCCCTCCCACTCACACCCCTCCCAACTCCCGTTCCCTCTCCCATTCCATTCACATCAAGATTCATTTTCAATTATCTTTATATACAGAAGATTGATTCAGTATATATTAAGTAAAGATTCCATCAGTTTGCACCCACACAGAAACACAAAGTATAAAAATACTGTTTCAGTACTAGTTATAGCATTACTTCACATTGGACAACACATTAAGGACAGATTTCACATGAGAAGTAAGTACACAGTGACTCCTGCTGTTGACTTAACAATCTGAAACTCTTGTTTATGGCATCAGTAATCTCCCTAGGCTCTAGTCATGAGTTTCCAAGGCTATGGAAGCCTCTTGAGTTCGCCGACTTTGATCCTATTCCGACAGGGTCATAGTCAAAGTGGAAGTTCTCTCCTCCCTTCAGAGAAAGGTACCTCCTTCTTTGATGGCCATGTTCTTTCCACTGGGCTTTCACTCGCAGAGATCTTCCATTTAGGTGTTTTTTTTTTTTCCCAGAGTGTCTTGGCTTTCCATGCCTGAGAAACTCTTAAGGGCTTTTTAGCCAGATCCGAATGCTTTAAGGGCTGATTCTGAGGCCAGAGTGCTATTTAGGACATCCACCATTCTATGAGTCTTCTGTGTATCCCACTTCCCATGTTGGATGGTTCTCTCCCTTTTTGATTCTATCAGTTAGTATTAGCAGACACTAGTCTTGTTTGTGTGATCCCTTTGACTCTTAGACCTATAAGTGTGATCAACTGTGAACTGAAGTTGATCACTTGGACTAGTGAGATGTTATTGGTACATGCCACCTTGATAGGATTGTATTGGAATCCCCTGGCACGTTTCTAACTCCACCATTTGGGGCAAGTCCGATTGAGCATGTCTCAAATTGTACATCTCCTCCTTCTCTTATTCCCACTCCTATAGTCACTTTTCAGTTAAATTTAAACACCTAAGAATAAATGTGTGTTGATTACAGAGTTCAACCAATAGTACTAGAACAAAAAATACTAAAATGGATAAAGTATTACATTGTACATCAACAGTCAGGACAAGAGCTGATCAAGTCACTGTTTCTCATAGTGTCCATTTCACTTCAACATGTTTCCCCTTTGGTGCTCAGTTAGTTGTCGCCGATCAGGGAGAACATATGATATCTGTGAAAATCTGAGGGGGGGGGGCGAGAGAACTCACTGAGAACACAAACTCGGTAACCTTGGCAACCTGGTGAGAGACTGCGGAGAAATTTGAGACCACACTGAGGGCTGCA